TTACCTCTTGCTCCTCTACCACGCCGATCACCCATCGTCGCCTCTATTAGTCTTGTCGATCGCCACCGCCAGTAGCAGCCTTGCCGGTAACCGCCACATCTTCTTCGCTTGATGATTTGGTACATGATTTCTCTTTGCTCTTTTTTTGGTGTCTCTTTCTCTTATTCTCTGTTTTGGTATGGTGACAAAAATTAGTGAAGAAAACAAATTTCGTCACTAAATAAGAATAATCCATGAGGAATTATAAATTTTGTCACGTATAATAAAAAAAATAAAATAATAGGTGACGAAATTTATTTCTGTCAATAAATATTTACTTTTAGGTGAGAAAAAAAATAAGTTTCGTCACCTAAATTTTTTCCACTAACTTTTTTTTATGATATCAAAATTGTCAAAATTTTAAAAATTTTGGTGAGAATTTTGTATAAGTTTATTATGCCTGATTAGTAAATTTTGTATAAACTCAAATTTTGGGGCTTTTCACCAATAATCTCCAACTCCTTGGGTATCGAGAACGCCAAACACCAGATCGACGGTCTCCCTGCCCTTTACTCCTCTTCCATGGCCGCCACCGTCTTCACCCTCACATCCACCGCACACCACCACCACCACCACCGTCTTCACCATCTTCGTGCCATTCTCGGACGACGACGATATGAGATATGAAGGCTTCAAATCTGTTGGATTTATGGTAGATCTGAGATGTGAGGGCTCTTCCTCCGCTGCTACAACCACCGAGATGAACGATGGGGGCCAAATCTGTGTTCGATTTTTGTTGGTTCATAATCTATGTTCAAAGTTATATATATATATATATATAAAGCTTCAGTGATTTCTATATATGTGTGTGTAATTAGGTATCTGATTGTTCGATTTCCAAACCCTAATGGCGGAAATTGAAATTCGAAGTCTGTATATGTGTGTAATTGGGTATCTGATTGTTGATTGATTTGGTTGTATCAGCCACATTGTGCACCAAACCTGTTCGACGAAAGTCCTCTCCGAAAATTCTTTACTATCTATCTAGTTTGGGAGCTTTTTAAAGATGTATGTTGTGAAAGGAGATGGGCGTCAAGAGACTCTACATTTCGACAAGATCATTGCTCGTTTCAAGAAGCTCAAGGGCGTCACCACCAGTTGCTGCATTCTCTGCATGTGATGCATTTGATCTAGTAGTCGTCTAAATGATAGTAGGAAGTAAGTTATTTCAGATATTCCTTCTACCCATACAAAATTTGAGTTTATTATGCCTAATTAGTTATTTCCTTTTACAGTGTTAGTTTTAGATTATTTTGTATAAGTTTGACTTGTTAAAATACATATTGTTTGTATTACATTCTTTTGTAATTTTAATGGCCTCCTTGGTTGCTATATTTGTTATGTGGTAGTCCACTGACTGTATACATGTCGTTATTGGTCCCCCTGTGTTCAAAAATTTTAATTTGACATTTGAGATATTTGAACCATATGTGCTTGGCTTTGAACAGTTATGGATTTACTTATAAAAATTGACACTTTTTGGGTTCAAATGGTAGATAGTTACTGTGTTCTTGTTCTCTTCTATAACATTTCAGTATGCATCTTCTTTTTGTTCTTTATTGATTTTTTCTTGTGGTTTATGAGTATTGTTTAATAGCATTACTACTTCAGGAGCTTGCAGGGATTATTAAATTGTCGGCATATTCTAGCTTCAATCTGTTTGAGTGTCGGAAGGTTGTTGCTGGTTCTAAATCACCTGAAATTGGAAATGGTATTTGTTTTACCCGAGTTCCTAAAATATATATATATATATATATATATTTGCTTTTGTTTTCATAATAATATGCATTTTGATGTCATATAGAGGAGTATATTGGGTTGGATGATAACAAATACATTGGGGATCTGCTAGCTGAATTTAAGGCAGCAAAGGACCGAAGTAAAGGAGAAATCTTGCACTGCAAATTGACATTTAAAAAAAAGTTATTTCGGGAGTCGGATGAAGCTATAGGAGAACCAATGTTTTTAGGTGGGAAGGTGTTGGTGAAGATGGTTTGATGGTTTCACTGGAAATTATTTCAACATAAAAAACATCCATATTCACCAATTTTGCTGACAGAGCTATCAAATTTTCTTTTTATAAATAATTTTTCTAGGCAGAAACAAACTTGCTCCAAAAAAAACCCAACCCTTCAAAACCTTTGCATGAAATGCTAATCTTTATTTGTTTTTAAAGATGAAATGCTCATCAATAAAGATTTTTAAAGATAAAATGTCATCTATAAGCAAGTTTTTATCTTAGGCATTAATTAGTTTTTACTTTTAATTAGTACATGGGCGAAATTATAATTCTATTAGATGGAGTAAACAGCACTAGTCATTATTGTTTATTTATTTATTCATTTTCAACAGCAAAGAGTAAACACAAGTATTGTAGATGGCTGTGATACTCTGTTTCTGGGTGTGGCTGCTGATAGCCGTTGTTTGTTTTTATTTGTGGTGTTTGGCTTGGGTTTGATCTTGTTGTAATATGCACCTCTATATTTTATTTCTTAATCTATTTGATCTTTTGATTCTTGAATGGTGCAAATTTCTATTATACTTTTTATGTCATAAATTCCTCAAAACTCTAGTAAAAATACACCCTTGACATAACTAGAGTATATTTTATTTGTTCCTCAATATTTACTCCCTAGACAAATCCCATTTTATTGGTACTTCACTTCAGCACTTTCCCGCTTGTTGCTTGCCTCATATCCTCTCTTTTTGGTGAGTCTAGAAATTGATTTAAAAAGCTGTTTCTTGCCTTGCTAGGCATCTCATTCTTGTGTATGTGCTAGTTGTTCAGTCACAGTGTGATGAGATATGCTTGCTTCTTAGATTGGATGTCTACACTTTTCAGATTCTTCTCTATTGTCGTGGTTAACAACTCTGGAGTGCAGTGTAGTGGGTATTATATCTTACTAGAAAAGTGGCCCCGAGAAATGTTTTTCTTTTGAGCTCAATAAAATATTGATGGTCATTTCGCCTACTAATCATATTACACATTTTATAAGCATAAGAACTTATTTAAAAATCTTTAATGTTAAATGCTTCTCTGAGTTGGTTTTTGTTTGCATAAATAGCTAGCGAGGCTTTTCTTTTTCTTAAACTATTCATGTTTTAGTGTAATAATAATTTGCAGATCTTTTGATGTAGTGACATCTGGTTAAAACTCTATACAGCGTACATGTTGCTTAGAATTTGGATCTCTTTGAAATTGTCCAACTTGAGTTAAAGTACATTTCCTCCTTTCTAACTTGATGTAACATATTTGTTGCAGATTGGGGTTTTTCTTGATAGGAGGGTTTTTTTCTACATTCTTCCAATTTTCTCATTTGTTTTACTTTACTCCAATCTTCCACATAAGGTACTGCTTATGAAACTTGAAATTCAATTTACTTAAGGTCAACTTTTTGCACAAATTCTACCATAGTTGTCAGTGCTGCAGGAGCTCCGCTTTGTTATTAGTTTTGTTACAATGTTTATCAGCGGCAATCGCAGCTAGCAGAATGTACATCTCTTTTCTTTTATTTAATTAATACCTCAATTAATTTATACGAATACAGAGTTATTTTTATCTTCTTGTAGTTGTTTTAAATGATATACTGAAGAGTAGTTTTATATTTGACCAACAGAGGACGATTGAAAGAACAACTGCAAAATGTGTCAGATTCCTCTGTACTTTCTAAAAGCATGTTAGACTTTCAATTTACTATTTGGGAGCATAGCACAAAGTGTTGCTTTCCTAAAACTAGGCTCTTAAAACTATTTTCTGTGGTTATAATTACTTATTTTTTATACTTAGATATGATAATGGGCTTTTAATGAAGCAAAGAGACATATTTCACTGGTAACTATGTTACCTTCCTAGGTGGTGTTGTATGATGCTCTTAATTATGCAATGTGTGAGGCTTATCAGTTGGATGCTACAATAATATGGTAACCCAGGTTAATAAATTTTTCAAGCTAAAGATACTACTATTGCCCCAACAAAATTGCAAGCTTACTAGTCAACCTCTTCTTAAGCTATGTAGTTAATGTCTTCAACCCTAAGCAACTGTTTCGGGTCAGTGTTCTCCTGGATCAATTGACATTATGTTTTATGTAGAACATTCATTTACCATGAATGATGGAAGTATAATTGCTGCAAATTTCACTTATGAAAATAAATAAAGGACAAGATATGAGAGTGTGCGGCCAATTTCCCTTGTTGGTTTAACACATTTTCTTGGTCTGTGGTCTTGTTGTTGGCTTACAGTTTGAACTATATTATGTTGCTGTCATCTCATATCATTTCTGTTACATAAATTTGACCTTATGATTTCCAGGTATAGTTGTAGAATTTAAGAACTTGTGTGCTTTCGTTTCAGGTGGTTAGCTGCATGGAACAACATCTTTGACATATGGTGTTGACATTGAAGGAATATGTTGGATGGGCATTTTGCAGGTCTTTTTCATGCTTTCAGCTTTCAGCTTTTTCTTTTTATTGTTTGTCTTGAAAATTCTTTTTACATATGCACTTTTTTTTTTAGTGCCAAGGATAACTCTTGTCAAAAAAGTAAAATCCCAAACTCCACCTCTATTTTTTTTATGTGCATTCGACAAATGACTACCCAGTTGTATAATAGATCAGCATTAGCATTGCTTGCTTTGGAAATAATAGATATCTAACACTAGATTGAGCTGCAACAGAGTATTAGCTTGTGCTAGTAATAAGAAAGATTGTTCTATGATTTTGAAATGTGCTTGTGGATGGTTTAACACTTAAACACGTTCATATTTCTGTTCATCCCCATTTTGGAGTTGCTTGCATAATCAGTTGTGGAACTTCTAGGAGGTTAGTAGCTTAAAACTGGAATTAATTACTGACAATTCTTGCTATCATCCTACCAATTCATGTTTAAAATAATTTTATTTTGTTTTGAAAATCTATACATATTTGTGCCAATTGCATGTCTTATTGACATTTATTGTAGTGCTGATAAGACATCCTATCATTATCTGAATTGCAATATCTGTAGGTTTTCTAATTTTTCTTTTGCTTTTAATCCATTTAGATGTAATATAAATGGCATATTCACTTTTCGTTACCATCATCTTTGTAGACTATAGTGCTTGGAATTGGATATCCTTGGCATTTTCAATAGCTTGATTCATCATAGACATAATTGTTGAATTATTATTTTGGATATCTTAAATAACATTACTTCCATAAGACTATTTTTAGTTCCTTGCTTAATTAGCTGCATTATTTTTTATATTCTTCATTCTTGATAGAAAAAAGAGAGATAATTTCTCATTATTAACTTTTGCATACAGGGATCTATCTAACAACAAGGGTCTGACTGGAACTCTTCCATCATTGATCGGGAATTTGAATCAGCTTACAACCTTGTAAGAAAATTCTATCTATTTCTTAGTATCAGCAACTCGTGCAATTTCACTCCTTACATTGAATCATTTGCTCTTTGTTACATACAGAATCCTCATTGGTTGCAGTTTCTTTGGTCCAATTCCGGACTCAATAGGATCTCTGCAGCAACTGGTCTTCTTGTAAGAATTTCAAGTCCAGTGTATATGTCTAGTCTCATGTCTTTGGTCTTTTTAATTATGGGTAACGTATTCCAGGAATGTTACTCATTGACCAATTATTTTAAGAGTGTGTTTTTGGCTTTACCTTAAATTTCATTATGTTAACTGTAAAGTTACATTAATTTTTTAGGCTATCTATAGCACTTTTAGGTCAGTGGGATGTATCCATTTTAATTCCTGGCTTGGATTTTTGAACTATGAACTTGGTGCTCTGATACTTTACCCGACTGTCAGAACTGCGGCTTTTTCCTTCCCCCCTTTCAACTTGTAAAAGGGTTTATATTCACTACCAAAAAGAATTAGATGGATAATTTTTGCTTTGTAATGTTTTCTTTTTCTCCATAACTGTTCTTGGGTCGTTGACTGGAAAGGGTAGTTCACTTGAGTTGTTGCTTGTTGTGGATTTTGCAGGTATCAATTCATATGTGTTACTTTGATAATGATTTGTATCCAATAATTGCTACTGTTGATTGTAAATGTCAATTAAGTTGACAGTGCACATATATCTTCATTTGTGTTTTAATGATCTAATGGACTCTATTTAATGTTTCTGCTTAATTGATCCTGCAATTTTGATGTTAGGGGGTAGCACATGCTATTCTTTGCAGGAAGCAGTTGTTGCTGATCAATATTCAAAGTTGAACATTCTTCAGATGATCTTCTTTGGCTTGCTCAATCAATTTTTTCATCTTTGAAGGTACTGGGAACATTTAACCATGTCATCTTCTATACATTTACGTCTCTTCACTTTACATGATACTTCTTTCTACAATGTTTTAGTTAGTCCTCTTAATAACTTGGGAAATTCAACATTTTCTTCACCTAGTAGCCTGTTGGTGTCGGTGTCTGATCTTTAATCTACTCTTCTTTTTGAGCTTTTTGTCATCATTTTCTTATCTTAATTTAATAAGAAACGAAATATTATGCAAAATGCTCACTTCACTATGTTCTAGAATGCGAGGAATGATATAAATGTATCTAGAACCTGTTCCTTAAAATTTATAGGAGTGGTTAAGAGAGTTGAGTATCTGATTGCGCAGAACTGAACTGTAATTGTGTATAATTACTATGGAACTAAACAGAATTCTCGTTTTGAGTTTGGAGGGATTCAGTGGTAAATCCAGACTAAAGTGTAGACTTTCTCTGGGGACGTCATTGTTAGTTCAGAGAATTAGCCAGAAATTTCTGCTGAGAGGATTAGACTGCAATATGATGCCATAATTTAGAGGGTTGCCATCCTTCTTGTGTTATCATTTTTCATTTATATGATTTTCTGCTTTCTTATAATGAAGGAGGTTAAAAAGAGATTACCATCTTATATATTTGCATCAATATAAGAAATCGAAAGATGTCTATTTGATTTTACACTGTCTCTCTCTCTCTGTGTTTTTTAACTATTGGTGGAAAAGAATGTCACTTCAGGATTGCAGTGATGGATGTCAACGCAGTGGTTTTTAAGTTATATTGTTCATTTTACGTCATGACATCCTTCTTAGAATGTGCTCATTTGACTTGCACTGCTTACCATCGTACTATTAAAAATCAACTGTGACTGTAACCTATTGTCGTTAATATGTAATTGGATATACATGGCCATGACATGTTACTTTCTTAGAAGTGCCATGCTTCTTAGCTTATAGATAAATTTCACTTAATATTTTGTTAACAACTCCGCCGGTCCAAGCCCGGGTTAAGGAGGGAGGTTGTGTGTTAGGTAGCCGATAGCCAACACGTAAAAAAATCGCTCGGATCCCTTATAAAAATGAATGTAGCCGACTCACATTTGATGGGACTTAAGGCTTGGTTTGGTTGGTTGGTAAAATATATTAAATTTTATTAGCATTGTCTGCAGAGCTCTGAATGCGAACAGCTTCAGTGGACCAACCTGCTTCCATTGGTAATTTGTCTAATCTTTCATGGCTAGATTTAACTGAGAACCAGCTTAATGGAACAATCCAGTCTCTAGTGGGAGCACAAGTCTGGATATGCTAGTTAAAGCAAGGCACTTGTATGTCTCACCTCTTTGAAATATCATATTAAATTTATTTTATTTATTTTTTTCAAATTCTTTTGAAGATATTTTTAGTATTATTGTTATTTAAATTTAAGCAAATTTCTGCCACTTATTCACAGTACATCTAGGAATGAATCAGCTATTCGGCAGCTTCCATAAACTTTTCACTTAAACATGAATCTGATACATGCATAAGTTTCCAAATTGTAATCTTTGATGTTATGAACGACAAAACTTAGTCATTAATTAGCATATTTTGACTTCATGTGGAGCATTTTGATTCAGTTGTTGTGACACTAGGCGATCCTTATGTTCCAACTAATGCCAATTTGGACATTATCTGTTATAGTCTCTAATAAATAATTATACTTTATATATGAGCAAGATTTATTTTATCAACATACACTACTGGAAGCATCTGACACTAGAATATGTGCAGACTTTGGAGGCCATGTGAGTATCTATGTCATGTATCTCAGAAACTTCTTACTAAGCTTCTTACAGAACACATTCTGTGATTGGCTTTCATGTTCCTATAGTACAAAAATTTAGTTTCTTGTTTTGGATTGAAACTTTTGCCTTGCAAACAGATGCTCTAATTGGAATTCATTAAATGGGCCTTTCCTTCAAACCTCAACCACTTACAAGTGTCAGGGAGCTGTAAGTACATTTCCACATCTGTAGAATTCCAACTTCAGTTATATTCAAGTGTCGTCATTAAGAAAGTGTTTTGGTTATGCCTTTTCAGGTACTTGTCGAACAATAATTTGAATGGACTCTGCCCAAACTCACAGGGATGAAACTTTCTCAACTCTCTGTAAGTTGTTGCAATTTCCTTCGATATTCAATTTTGTTAGCAATGCATGTGAAATCTATTGCATTTTCTGACCATAAGATGATGGTATGCAGGGACATGAGCAACAATAGTTTCAATTCATCAGCTGTTCCTCTATGGCATCAAGCCTAGAGGCTTTGACGACATTGTACCATCTTAATCTCATCATCTGTTGATCTAGTTCTCACTAATAGTTTAGGGGATCTTAGATAATTAAACATAAAAAATACTGCACCAAAAGGCTCATTACGCAATTTGAGAACTAGATCACAGCTGATAATTGTGTGTGTCAATTTCATGTAGGATATTAATCCACAATTTGCCACCATAGACATCTACATAAGGATGTTTTCCAATGTAAACCTGCATTTCCATTCCACTGAATGATTCCATGTTGATCACGACTCCTCTATGAGCTTGTGCCTGGCCCTGCATTTCCATTCCATTGTGAGTTTTCTTAATTTGTTTAATTATTTCCATAACTCATTGAATTCAGCCAAAATTCCTCACCTTCTTTGTGGTGTTTTTGATTTCTTTTTCCTGATCATATTTTGTGGTTTTTGAATCGAAGAGGAAGAGAGAGAGGTGGGGAATCCTACTCAAGTCTTTTCTACCTTTTTCTATCGCAATCTCACTGAATTGTCTTGATGTAGTTATTATTTGTAAGCAAGATGCTCTGTTTATGGTTGAGTCTTATTTATTCTTCTTAACCTAGTTTAAAATGTTAAATAAAATATTTTTCATATTAACTATTTGCTTATGAGTTTCAAGGTTGAACAATTGGAGCGAGAGGTTGCTGAGCTTCGACATGCCCTGTTGTAAGACAAGACAAAAAAATGTCATGCTTCAGGTTTTCGAATTGCTTTATGTTCTGACAATTAAATATGTAAAAATTGGTTCATTGTTTCTTTATGTGATAAAGATTTCTAACAATTATATTGATTATGACTTATCTGATAGGTTTTGATGAGGGTAGAGCAAGAACAAAGGGTAACAGAAGATGCTCACAAATTTGCTGAGCAAAGATGCAGCAGCTCAGAGATATGCTGCTCAAGTGCTTCAGGTTTTACTTTTTGATTTAAACTTATTTTTTTAGTACTGCTTTACCTATAATGTTCGTGGTTATTAGCTTTATAACAACCACTCCGAAATAGCAGTTCATGCAAATCAAGGTAACAACACACAGTCAGCAGCACAAGAATCTAGTTCAGTCTTTCTTCTCTTTTAAAAAATAAAAAACCAAAATTATAGGATGCAAAATACAAGAAAACTAGATTGTCATGGATCTTATCTTCCATTGGCATCTGAGCATTGAACATTGTTTTTTGTGTATGTGGAAGATAGATCATATTATAGAAATCAATTACTAATACCTACTATGGTCTAGTCCTATTTCATATTAATGAAATCACTTAGCATATACTTATTGCACCTTGGTCTGTTGATGTCCTTCTGGACATTGTAGTTATTTAAGTTGATGTCAATTGGGTCCTTCTGAACATTTTTTGGTTATTTAAGTTGATGTCAATACCTCCAAATGGACAATAGTGTTGGATTATTAAATGCATTACTTATTGCACATCTGTTTTGTTGTATGGGGAACATTAGATCACAACATATGTTAAATGTTAACTGTTGACTTGTTAGACTCTGACTGAAGAAAACCTAACTTGATTTTTGTTTAATTCTTCAGAAAACATAGTTCAAGGTCAACAATAAAGTGTTATGATGGGACTCTTTTCTTTGTTTTTCTCCCATTATTCCCTCTCTTGTCCCATGGTCTGTCTCATATCATTCCTCTCCCTCTCTATATCGACACCTAACAACTCCCTCTCCGCTGAGACTTAATTTATTTACAGCGATTTTTTTCTCAGTACTAATTTAAAGTAGTCTATTGTTAATTGTTAGTAATTGTTTTGTTCCTAACATAAAGTTTGGCTATAGTGAATTGATCAACTACACATATGGTTTAATGATTTCATTAATAACATCTAAATAGTTCTCAAGCTTAGCTACCTTAAAAATGACAAGGTTTTCCTCAGTCTCGTACTCAAACTATTATGCATTTTCCTTCCCCTAAATTTCTACCCTCATTTCTCATTTTCATGTTTTTTTCTTTTCTTGGAGTTTTCACAATTCAAGAACTTAAAAGGTGATTCGTTGCCTTTAGAACTTGTGTTTGAACTTTCTGTTTTTAGGTTGTTAGAGGGAGTACTGAGTTTTAAATTTTACTTCCCCTACGGGGAGAGAAAGATGAGAGGGATGAAATGTGCTTGGTCCACTAGGTGTTAGGGTGGGTTTGGCCATGCATGGTGGTGTCCTGGTGGACTATGTCTTGCAAAGTCACCCAACCTAGGTGTTTGGGGAAGTGGATACTGGGTTTTTGTTTTAGAGGTGGTTGATACCCATGGTGGTCCATGAGGCTATTGGTTGGTGGTGGCATGTGAAATATAGGAGGAAATGAGAAGGGGAATGGCGAGTGGGTCTGCGCTGTAGAAAGGAGGAGGAGGGAAGAGGGAATGAAGAAGAAATAATAGAAAAAGGCAAATTGAAAAAGGGGCAAAAGTATTCATTATATATATTCTTAACACACGCTCAATTTAGTGTGTTAACGCTGGTTCTTAACCAGGCAATTTGCACCGTCTTGCCATTTACTCAATCAGAGGGTTATGTGTATATTTTTAAACATGAAGAAGTAAAGTGTTTTTGGACAAAACCATATAAAATATAATTAACCCAAAACGTTGGAGAGTCTAATTGTGTTTTTATTTCAATATCTATTCGTGTGTATCTTTGTTTTGTTTTTATGTTTGCTTGCATGTGTGTTTTGACCTTTTACCTCGTTGAACGTTCAAAATAAATAGGAACATATTTAGATTTAAATGAAAATGGTAACTCCTATAAAAACTATGGATTGATTAGGTTGTGAACACGTCATGTGATTCTCTTTGGTTCTTGTTGGCATTAGTGCTAGTGAAACATGGTATTCTTGCAATCTTTTTGCATCTTCTGTTATCTGTGTTGCTTATCATTAAAGGATTACTTCAACTCTTGAAGTTTTGGATTGTTATATGCATTTCTATTAAATTGGTTTATAAAAAATAATTATTTAAATATGATTTTAGATTGTAAATTAATAATATAAATTAATGTCTTCCTTATTTATTTTCTTTGCAGATTGTTTTTGATGACGTTTGGAGCATATTTGCAAATCAAGATCAAGTGTTTGAATTATTTTTTTATTTCTGAACTGATACTTAGTTGTAGTTGCAATCAGATTGAGTGTTGATTTTTTTTTTGTGACTCCACATTAGTCTTTTGGATTTGCTTTGATGATTTTTTTGTTATAAATGGATTATTATTAAAGTTGTTTGATGGATACATTTTGATTATATATAATGGTTTAGTGAATTTTTGGTGTGGGTGGTGTATATAGTACGGTTTCTTAGTACAATTAAAGGCTACTGGATCTGAGCAGGATATTTGTGAAATAATAACTTAAATTGAATATAAATATGGAACCTTTTGTGACATATTTTTTCGTCATTTGTATTCTTATTATGACAAAGTGATTATTGTCACTAATAACATTTTTTTGTGACAAATTTATGAGTTTATATAATAAGTTTTTATTTTTGTTGTTTGTTGATAAAATTTTGTCACGTGTATATATATTTATGACTAAATATATTTCGTCCCACACCAATGTCATGAACTTTCTGAAGCCAAAAAATCTTCCCATCATCTTTATCTTATCGTGACAATTATTTCCTCATCAATGATAACATGCGTGACAAATTTATTCGTCAACTAAAGTTATAAATATGGTACTGAACAATTATTTAGTGACGAAAATGAGAATTTTTTGGTGACAAAATTTTGTTTTTTGGTGACAAAATTATGACTTTTGAAGACGAAAAATTTCGTCATTTTTACATCTTATTGTGACGAAATTATTTCCTCATCAATGATCAACATGCGTGACAAATTTATTCGTCAACTAAAGTTATAAATATGGTATTGAAAAACTATTTGGTGACGAAAATGAGAATTTTTGGCGACAAAATGTTGTTTTATTGGTGACAAAAAATTTCGTCGCTGAAGTAATTTCATTGGTGACGAAATTATTTTTCGTCACGTTGGTTTTTAGTGACAAACATTCAATGACGAAACCGGTGACGAAAATATTTCCTCACAAATATCTATAGTGACGAAATTAGCTCTTTAGAGACAAAAAAATTTCGTCATTCAAGACCCAACTTGTTGTAGTGTAGATTCCATCATGGATAATCCGGAGCGTCGGCGATTGGGAATTGAGATACGTTCCGTCACTCGGAGTATGAAACGTACCTCGTTTCCCGTGCTCAGGCTAACTCCTATCCGAAACACGATGCAATATGTATGATATGCATGAAATGCAACTAAGATACAACCTAGCATACACAATGCTATGAAATGGCATACACGATGCACGAGGTAACATGGCATACACAATGCGCTAACATACAACCTAGCATACACGATGCTATGAGATGAAATGGCATACACAATGCATAAATGGACTTACACTAACATGAGTGGACCTCAGCCACACTCGCATAAGAGGCCATTAGATGAAAATGAGACACTCGAGATGCGTGCACGCATGCACGCAAACCGAGGACCGACCCTAAGGCACCAAATGCCACTCTAACAAGACATGGCAAGGCATGAAATATGATATGCAAACATGCAAATTTTAGAAGCGAAATATGATGCAAAACAGCCCCGAATCATGGAAACATGGCACCCGATGCATGAAATGGTCCCGAAATGCAAGATTAAGCACATGAAATGACTTGTAGCTACATGAAGCATGCATTATTTGATCATGACATGTGAAGGAAGATTCAAGGAAGTCCCAAAACAAACATTTTTACAGTTTTAAAGAAGGCCAAACAGCGAACACAAATGGGGCTAAGCTATCATGCAAAAATGGCCCGAAAGAGAGGTAATGAAGCAAGTGGAAGCTTCTGGCTCTAAACAGATGAGGGCCCTTCAACAATGTTGAATAGGGGCCCAAAATATGACCTTTTACAGTTTATGACCGAGCCAAAAAGAGTACACAAGCATGCTCAAAATACTATGCAAAACAAGGCCAAAAAGAGAGCTATAACACAAAGTACAAGAAGGATGCCTCAAAAAGTCAAATACCCTTAATGAAACATGAAGAGGGGGTTAAAATAAGTCTGTTTTAAGTTCATACCAGAGTCCAAAAACAGAAGCACAAGAGGCTAATAAATCATGCAAAAATGGAGCCAAAAAAGGGATATAAAGGCAAGTGGAAGATAGAAGTCTCAAACAGTGATGAGCCCTTCAACAACATTGAAGAAGTGCTCAAAATAATCCACTTTACAGTTTATGACATGCCTCAAAACAATTTATACATAGGCCAAAAATACTACACAAGAAAATGGCATACAAGGGAGGCAATGAAGCAAGTGCAACAAGGAGGCCTCAAACCGTGAGAGGCCCTGAAATAAGCATGAAAAATAGCTCAAAATAAGCCTAGTTCCAGTTAGGGTCGGAGCCCAAAACAGCAAGCAAGTGTGGCTAATGTATTGAACAAAATAAATCGCAAAAGAGGAAAATGGGGACTCACCCTTGAAGACTAGTCTTTGACACCCTTTTGGACCAAGATGCAGCACTCCTAGGCTCTGAAGAACAACCTCCAGCTGCTGGAATGGAGGATGGAAGGGTGGGGCTATGAGTTGGTGAAGAAATGGGTGTAGGACTTGAGTGTTTGGAGCTTGGAAATATATAGAGAGAGAGAGAG